TAAATAAAAAATAGTCGGTGAAAATATATATATAATTTATATATTATATATATATAATTGTGTATAATCAATGTATAATCCATGTATATGTGTGATGATCCAAAAGGTCATCTTATGTTTTAAAACTCGAATCTGCGCTCTTAAACCTTAAAAATCTCATTTTTACCCTCCTCGATTTGTGTGGGCAGTCCGACCAGATTTCCGGAAAGCTTTTATGTTAAAAATTGATGAAAATAAGAATTTATGCCTTAAAAAGTTAATTTTATTTGACTTCGGTCAATATTTTTGATAAACGGGCCCGTATCCATATTTTGACGGTCCCGATGAGTCCGTATCGAATTATGGGACCTGGGCGTATGCCCGGAATCGAATTCGGAGGTCCCTAGCTCGAGTTATGCATTTTTGAGAAAAATTAAAAATCTGAAAATTAATTGTTTCTAAGAATTGATTGATGTTTGGCATTGTGAGTATCGGGTCCGTATTTGGTTCCGGAGCTCGGTATAGGTTTATTACGATATTTAATATCTGTGAAATTTGGTGAGAAACGGAGTTGATTTGACGTGATTCGGACGTCCAGTTAAGAAGATATGAATTTTAAAAGTGTTCTTGAGAATTTCATTTGATTTGGTACTAAATTCGTAGTTCTAGGTGTTATTTTGGCGATTTGATCGCGCGAGCAAGTTTGTATGATATTTATAGACTTGTGTGCATATTTGGTTTGGAGCCCCGAGGGCTCGGGTAAGTTTTGGGTAGGCCAAGAGATGTTTTAGACTTTGAAAATCTGGTATTTTGCTGCAGCAGGTATTCTGGCAGGTCTTTCTTCGCGTTCGCGAAGGTACTCTCGCGAACGCGAAGAGTAAACTGGGTAGCCGGAGTTTTCTTCTTCGCAAACGCGAAGGCTTAGTCGCGAACGCGAAGCGATGGGGGGGTTACCCTTCGAGAACGCGACCAGCTCCTCGCGAACGCGTAGTGTTAGGCAAACCTGGGGGAGGGTTGGTCGTTCCTTCATCGCGAACGCGAGCAATGTCTCGCGAACGCGAAGGCCAGCGGGAGTAACCATCGCGAACGCGAGAAGGGTCTCGCGAATGTGAAGGTTTGGAAGCCAGTACCCTTCGCGAACGCGACAGTGGCCTCGCGAACGCGATGCACACTGTCGCTAAGTGCATAAAACAGAATCAAACACGAGTTTAAGCCATTTCTTCAACATTTTTCAAGAACCAAACGGGTAGAGACGATTTTCAAGAGTCATTTTCTTCGCCAACATATTGGTAAGTGATTCTAAACCATTTTCTTTCAATTACCCATTACATTTCTTAAATTATCAACCTAAAATCTAGAGTTTTCATGGTAGAAACTAGGAATTTCGAAAATTTGGGGATTTAGACTTCAATTTGAAGTCGGATTCCAAAACCAATTATATATTCGGGCTCGGGGGTGAATGGGTAAATGGATTTTGGTCTAAACCTCGGGTTTTGATCAAGCGAGCCCAGGGTCAATTTTTCGACTTTTTGGAGGAAAATTTGGGAAATTTAATTTATGCAATATAATTGATTTTTTTAGCAATATTTGATATTATTGAGTCATTTTTGAATATATACGAGTAGTTTTGAGGTGAATTCCAAAGGAAAAGCTGTGATTGAGAATTAAGTGGCCTTCGGAGCGAGGTAAGTGTTGTGTCTAACCCTGACTTGAGGGAATTAGGAACCTTAGATTATTTGCTAAGTGAAATTCATGTGAGCGGCGTATATGTGAGCTGACGAGTACTTATGCGCCGTCAATTTACCTGTTTTTTCATGTTTCTTCCATTTTCTTATATTGTCTCTTCCTATGCCTAATTGCTACATGTTTATACTAGTATTGTTAAATTGATCGTTATTATCATGTTTACGGATTTTCGGTTGGTAATCGAGTATTTATTTAAAAGTTGAGATTTATATTGTGGAACCAAATGTTGAAGTAAGGTTTGTACTTGTTATTCTATCTCCTTGTTGTTATTTATGCATTCATTATGGTAAGGGAGAGTGTTAATGCATGAAGGGTGATGTTATACCATGATATGAGAGTTAATGCACGAAGGGTGATGTCGTGCCATATTATGAGTTATAATGCACGAAGGGTGATGACGTGCCATATTATGAGTGTAAAAGCACGAAGGGTGATGCCGTGCCATGATATGAGAGTTAATGCACGAAGGGTGATGTCGTGCCGTTTCTATTGATTTATTGGTGAGATTGAGAGTAAAAGCACGAAGGATGATGCCGTGCATTTTTCCTTATTGTATTCAGTATTCCTGTTGATTCATGGTATATTAACTGCTCCGGTGATCATTCTGCTGTAGTTCTTTATCTTGTATTCCCCTCAGTATATTCCCCTCCCGACATTTTCTGTTTAGTTCTTCATTTCTATTATTTGTATATACACTGTTAAAATTATACAGCTTGATTTATAGGTGCCTTACCTTAGCCTCGTCACTACTTCGTCGAGGTTAGGCTCGACACTTACCAGTACATGGGGTCGGTTGTACTGATACTGCACTCTGCACTTTCTGTGCAGATTTTGATACCGGCTCGGGTTGATCGAAATTTTATTATTGGTCCGCTGTCCGGAGACTCAAGGTAGATCTATCGGTGTTCACAGACCTTGAAGTCCCTGTCTATCTTTTCTGGTCTACTATTTTTTTCATTCAGACAGTTGTATTTCTTTCAGACTATTACTTGTAGTAAATTCTAGAATGCTCGTGAATTGTGACTCCAGATCTGGGTGGTAGTAATTAATGCAGTTTTATAATATTCCGCACTTATAATATTTCATCTTAGTTAATTATTGTTATTTATTGAATGAAAATAAGGAATTGGTTTAATGATTCTCTAACGTTGGCTTGCCTAGCAAGTGAAATGTTAGGCGCCATCACGGTCCCGTTGGTTGGAATTCCAGGTCGTGACAATATGACTACAAAAAGTGAATAATGAATATGATCGGCTATTTATGTAAAAATCCCTACGAGGCCCAGTGCACATGCGTGAATGCTTGACGTGCTTGATGGATATTGAATAATTATTAGAAAATTTCACAAACCACTATTGTTTAGTGGTTATTAGCTACATGTAGCTACCATTTACTATATTACTTCATATAGCTATGTTTTCAGTTCTTATAGAGTGTATTCGATGTATTTAAGCTACTGTATTCATGAATAAAGTAGCAAAACTCGGCGTGAAACAGGGAAGTCCAGTTAATCAATTATTGTATTCGACTATATTCGCGAGTTGTATTCGCGAATACAGTAACGTATAATGCGTAAATCGTGGTCTATTCAATTGTTTTAAAACGGTAAGTGAATCGATTAACACAATAGACTCCTAATATAACTCAACTAACTCAATTATATCACCCAGAATCTGTATTTCACGACGAATCTGTAGAATATTTTTCCCAGCCAAAAAATACAACAAAACAGAGCAATCTTAAGATTTTCAATTCTTCCTTTTTTCTGTTGCTATCGTTCGTTGAAGTTCTGTTTTCAACCAATAAAATTCGAGATTCATATCACCCAGAATCTGTATTTTACGCTGAATTTGTAGAATATTTTTCCCAGCCGAAAAATACAACAAAACAGAGCAATCTCAAGATTTTCAATCCTTCCTTTTTTTGTTGCTATCGTTCGTGGAAGTTCTGTTTTCAACCAATAAAAATCGAGATTCATACAATTATATACAGAAATCTGTATAATTCGATTTTACATATGGCAAGTTTAACTGTGCTATTGTATCATTCTGGAAAGTGGAAAGTGGGACAGTGAGAGTAACTATGTTGATTATTCGATTGAGGGAATACTGATAAAGGAGTATACGTCGTAGAATGATTTGGTTGCTTAAATTTCGAAGCAACTCGACATAGATTTATGCTCAAAGTTAATTAAAATTGAATACAAAGTAGATGGAAATTGCACGCCAATGGAAATACATAACGACATGGGTTACAAGGTGTATGTAGAGTTGAAAAAAGTGAACAGAGAATTCGGGATGTATCCTTTGTGCATAACAATAATTGACAAAGAAGTTGTAGCTGGAGGTAGTTTAATTCAAGGCGGCCTTGTGCAAATTGACGAAGCAAATCAAAGGTGTAATTTTGATACAGATGATATACTTGCTATTGAGTCTGTCAATTCAGGCGAACCAATTGAGGTGTTCGAACTGGAAACAGATTTGATTATTTCAAAAACTAATCAAAGAGAGGTTATGGTTAGACAAGTATATAAGGATAAGGCTGCATTGAAACAGGTGATGGAGTATTATGCAATATCTAAAAGGTTTCAATTCCGGGTTGATAGGTCTAATGCTATCGGGTTTGAGTGTTCGTAATTGTTGAACATCATGTTATATTCAAATATATGATTGTGTATTTTGAATGTGAAATTGTATATTGTTTTCATAGTAGAATTTTTATCTATATTTAGATGTATTTAGATATATTTGAATGTATTTACATGACTTTCATTGTTATACTTATGAATAATTATGTATTTCAAATACATGGATTTATCTGTATTTTACTGATAAATATTTATTACATTGACTTTCACTGGTTGTTCTTAGATGTATTTAGATGTATATATATAATTACAATCGTATTCACATGTATATGTGTGTATTTTGAATTTTTTATATATTGTATTCATGGTAGAATTTTTAAATTGTATTTAGATGTATATATATAATTACAATCGTATTCACATGTATATGTGTGTATTTTGAATTTTTTATATATTGTATTCATGGTAGAATTTTTAAATTGTATTTAGATGTATTTAAATATGTTTGGATGTGTTTGCATGACTTTCATTGTTGTACTTATGAATAATTATGTATTTCAAATACATGTATTCATCTGTATTTTACGNATGTAACAATGTATTCACATGTATATGAGTGTATTTTTTAACCATTTATACTGATCGTATATATTGCGAAAAAATTATTTACAGTTATATATTATTATGTATGTCAGAGGATTGTGAATGGAGATTTAAGGCTTCTAGCGTTAACAAATCACAAATGTTTAAAGTGAGAGAGTTCAATGATAAGCATACATGTCCGTTGAAGGATAAGGTGTATGAGCAACGTCAAGCAAGTAGTAGTCTTATCGATGGTATGATTAGGTCCAAGCTTACTAATCATAAGAGGAAATACACCCCAAAGGATATAATTGATGATGTGAAATCAGATTTTGGTGTAGATGTTAGTTATATGTTGGCGTGGCGGGCTAAAGAAAAGGCAATAAATTTTTTGAGAGGTAAACCGGCTGATTCATACAATAAATTACCAGGGTACTTATATACAATGGATATGACATATCCTGGTTCACACATAAGAATGGTAAAATCGCCACAAAATGAGTTCATGTATGTGTATATATCTTTGTATGCCTTTATAAAGGGGTTCGATCATTGTAGACCCATTGTGGTTGTGGATGGAAGCCACCTAAAATCGACATACACCGGGACATTCGTCTCGGCCAGCACGTTGGATGGCGCAGGTGAGTATGGGGATTATAATAAAATTTGTTAATTTTACTGCCTATTAAAGATTGAAATACATATTTTTAATATGTATGCAATTGTATTTATAGGTCATATATTGCCACTAGCATATGGTGTTATTGATTTAGAGAACGATGTTGCTTGGTTAAGGTTCTTTGAGCAATTCAAGGAAGCATATGGTGAGAGGGAAAACATGTGCATCATTTCAGATAGAAATGAGAGCATTATCAAATTTGTATCGAGAGTGTATCCAATGGTACCACATTTTACTTGTATATGACATCTATGGAACAACATATATAAGAAATTCAAAAAGAGTCATTCAAAGTTGAGCGAGATATACTTCTCGATGGCAAAATCATACACACATACTGAATTTGATAGTCTAATAGAGAAGGTGGAGAAGGTAGATCTTAGGGTGAAAGAATACTTGGAATTAACTGGATACGAAAAGTGGGCTAGGTTGTATGCACCTGTTAATAGGGGATGGACCATGACGTCAAATATTGCTGAGTCAATCAATGCCGCACTTGTATCAGCAAGAGAATTGCTAATATACGACTTCCTCAAAGAAGTTAGGAAGATGTTTGGACGTTGGAATTGCAGCAATCGGAAAGAATCTTTACACACGTACACAACACTTGGAAAAAAATACCAGGAGATACTTACTTTGAATGAGGCAATGTCTACACGTATGTTTGTAAGTTTTTTTTTTAAAGTCATTGTATCATGTATATAGCCCTAGTACAAGGTGTATTTATTTCTGATATAATTTTTACTATTCAAATACAGAATGCTCATTGTATTATAGCAGTTGTGCATGCTTTCTGTTTTATGAAATATTTAAAAAGCTGATCATTATATGTATACATTACTTGTTTATATATTTGTATTTCATTGGTTGATTCAATGGTTTTGTTTCTAACCAGATGCATTTCCTAAGCAGATAGTCTATATGTTACTGTATATCACTATATTCATCACTTAAAATGACATCATCTTTAATATTCTGCCAGCCTAAATGTAGATTGTATTTGTGAGCATGTAATTTTTACCCTACCAAAATATTCCTACAAAATTAATAAACAAATTATTCATATTTATTTTTATATTTTTAGGATTTTTTTAATTATTTGCATTTAGTTGCATTTTTTATTTTTGAAATCATAGAAAACAACAAAAATATTGAAATCCTCATCATATAGCATTATTAGGTTTTAATTGAATTTAGTACTTAATTACATGATTTGATCATATTAGAAGAAAATCACAAAAATGGTTTATTTTTGACATTTTTAGTTTTAGTGTTAAAATTAGTAATTTTTCCTTTTAATAATTGAAGATTAACTGATTATGTAAATAGTACAAATTGATAGTTGGTTTAATTTGATAAATTAAGATAATTTACCACTTAATTTAGGATTTGATTAAATTAAATAGATTTTAAAAGTTAATTAAATAAAATGGAATTTAATTAGCCTAAAATCGGACTGGGCCAGTGTAAAAACCAGCCCAATCCCCAAAATCTAGCCCAAAATCGCCCAATCCCAATACCCCAAACCGGTCCAGTCTCCCGCCTAACCAAACGACACCGTTTTGGGGCCAAGCAATCCTAGTCGTTGATCTTCAATAGATCTAACGGCCCGGAACTCCCTTTCCCCTAAGTATATATATTTCCAAACAGACCCCTACCCCC